TGTAAATCATTTCTTGCATCAAAATGTGTTCAAAAATATCTTGATCATCAATGGTGAGATTTTAATTTTTGTATATTTCATAAAAAAATAAAAAATTTAATTTTTATAGGTTTGGAAATATCAATTATAAAAGAAAAGCTATTACTTTCCGAGTAAATAATTAAAAATAAAATAAAATATAAAATATTTTTTTATTTTTAGGTTTTTCTTTGTTCATTATTTTTTCCTTTAATTCCAATATTTTCTATCTTTCTACCTTCTGTACAAAAACATAAAAACGTTAGTGAAAAGTTGAAAAGAAATTATAAATATATTGAATAATTTTTCAAGATCATTCGAAGTACTCGAGATCAATCAAAAGTCAGCCACCCGACTATGATGCATAATATTATTGAGTAAGAAAATGATGATGATGATCTTATTTAAAATTTTATTCATATTTTATCAGACCTGTTCAACATAAAAGAAAGAATAATGTTCAATGGTTCGATAAAATAAGCTATTTCTATCAAGCACCTGTTGTACGATTTTATTATTATATGGTAAAGATTAATTGTATTGTTTTAAAATGTTGTTGATTTGTTTTTTTTAATTTTCGATCAGATATTTTACATTATATTTCTGATTTTATTCAGTGATGTTCTTCTTGTTGATTATTTTCCATTAAATATCTATAATGAACGTCGATCTGGTATTCAAAATTTACCAATACCCATAACTGAAATGTTTCTTCATATTTGTATTTGGAGTTTAGTTATTGAAGAAATTCGTCAAGTAATATTGAGTTACATTTTATTATTAACGGCATAAATTGTATTATTTTTAGTTTTTATTTGTGAATTCCAAAAGAGAATATGTATCAGGAATGTGGAATATCATTGATATTCTCGCGACTATTTTATATCTTATTGGTTTTGTTACGCGATTTATTGTTCATGAACCATTTTTTGTTGTATCTAAGTAAGTTTATTTATAATATATTTTCTTTTGAATAAAAATATCTATTTACCTTAAAATTCTTTTCTTTAAAGAATATTCTTATGTCTTGATTTGATACTTTGGTTTGTTCGTACATCAGAAATATTTGCTGCTTTTGAAAAATTAGGACCGAAATTGATAATGATTTTTAATACGGTTAGTGGCTGATCACTCAATTAATCTTTTGATTGTTTTTTTAATTAATAGATGAAAGATTTTCTCTTTTTTGTTTGTTTTATTCTTATATTTTTACTTGGATATTCAATATCAGCATGGTCATTAATTACTACAAACAATCAAGTTTCTTGGAATTATGACAGCAATGGATCATTATTTAATGCGACAGTGTCAGGTGATGCAAGTAATTTATGGACATGGCAATCGTTACGTGGCTTTATAAATTTTGGTGTTTGGAAAATTTTTGGACAAGTAGATTCAATTGGTAAATANATATGACATGTAGAATTTTCGACCAGTGTCTGTTGAAACCAGATTTTATGTTCAGTCTTCATCAGTCCGTTCACATTATTTCCATTAAATTATGACACATTTATATTTGCAGTTCTTATAACTTGAACTTATTATTTCGGATTTGTTTATGGTATTATTAATGATTTAGTCATTTATTTGTCCTGTTTTGTTGTTTGATATGAATGTACTGATGATGACCGATTTTACGAGCTGGTTCCAACAGACACTGGTCGAAAAGGGTGTGGGGTGTGGGTGTGGGTGTGGGTGTGGGTGTGGGTGTGGGTGGTTGTGGGTGTGGGTGTGTGGGTGAGTTCAGCAGAGGACTAGTAACATCCCACACCCACACCCACACCCTTAAAAAATCTTCAGAGCTATAAACTTTACTGTTCGCAGGATTTTGAACAATCAAGGAGCAAAATAGGGCTTCCACGGAAACAAGAAATTTTCTAATATACTTCACAAGTTACAGCGCTGGTGGTAGACTCATTTAAGATAACTTCTTGTTGCTTCAGATGAGGGGAAGGGTTTTCTAAATTTTTATTCTATTTCATTTTTGCAACTCTCAAAACTTTAAAGTTCCAAAAAGGATAGCCAAAGTTTTCTAGAAAATCTTTGGTTTTTTCAATGGTAAGGGTTAAATACAAATTCAATTTCCCTCATTTGAAAGAGAATTCACCAATCTGTCGACTAAAGAAATCCGCAGTTCGATGAAACGAACTATGGTGACAAACAAAATTTGTTCAGAGGTTCTCAGTTTTATCAAAAACTAGTTCTGAGAAAGACGCACGTATATTTTTTTTTCATTAAATATTTTGTTGAGTCATCGTCATACCTCAGAGCTATACATAGCTATATTGTATATCAATGAAAAGCCCATCGGACCTCTCATCGGGTAGGCGTACAACAGTACGTGTCATTATTTGTCATTATGGACGATAAAAGCAAGTCGACCTATAAGTTCTCGATAGTCTTAGGTACCATTTTTTTTAGTAGAAAGCTTTACAAGTTCATCGATTATTTTTAAGAAAATTTTTGAAATTGGAAGTGACTTTAATGAATTTTAAAACTAGGCATCTTACAGGTAACACGCATATGTTTGTCTCGAAAATCGAATCTTTTTAAAATTGATTTTAAAAGAGAAGGCACCTTAAGTTTCTTGTTAAGACCTAGTGAGTTCTACCTGTAGTACCTGTCGGGGAAAATATGTTAAGAGCAAGTTTTCAGCCCTTGATCGAGTGATTTTTGAACATCTTCCATGACATTGAACAATATTGCAATTGTTTATCACAAATTGAATGATATTGATCATGCCTTAGAATATTATCAACAATCATTGAATATGAAAGAAAAAGTACTTCCATCCGATCATAAAGGTATTCGAGTGACCAGAAATAATATTGCAAAGATAAATAAAAAAAAATCTCATCTTCAATTTACAAGTACTACCCAATCTGCACCAAAACAACTTCACATTCAACATAAATCTCAAACCGCAACAATGATCAGTGTCATTAATTATGATAAATCTCTGGATCCAGACAACTTGATTGGGAGACCTCAGCTTCACCTCCCGGTCATCCGTCATCAACGAAATCCCCTCTTAAATCCTCAGCTTCACTATTTATGCGTGGTAATATCCCATACACCTGGAAGAAACAATATAAATCATCCATTCGACTACGAAACGGAAGAAAATAGTATGAGCCATGAAGATACTCCTGAACTTCACTATACAACATCATTAAAGCCACAGTACTAAAGCTCGAAACTTTAATCGTAATTAAATACATGTTTCATGCTTTGTTATGATAATGATAATAATAGATCAAACAAACATCAAATTCAATATCCTATATGCAATATAATCATGATAAGAATATATCCTATATCTTTCTAATTCATGTCAGCAATCGCTTCTTTCTGGTTTTTTTGTACCGTTTGTACTTATTTCATAAAATAAATAAATAAGAATAATATTTTAAAATACACTATAGTTTCATTGAAATGTCATGTCATTGCATTATTCTTAATGATCCAACAACAAGGATATAAATAATCAATCATCGAATGATGATCCTCAATGAAATTAGTTGACTATTATAATCATAGTTTATGAAGGGTGTTGGTGCGTGGTGTGAGTGTGGGGGTGTGTGAGTGTGGATGCCGATCATCTGATTTTCAACTAACACCATACCCACACCCTGTTTTATCCAGTTTGTGTAATAATTCTTAAGCGTAACACCAAACGAAATATTTTAACTTCAATAAGATATAAGTATTTGTAATTGTCGATGTGAATGTGGGTGTGGTGTTAGTTGAAGATCAGATGACTGGCATCCACACCCACATCCTCTATGCATAATATGAATTATTCGAAGACCCTGAACGGTAATTGCTTGATGTGTATACTTTCCCTTGATTTGTTTTTGCGGAAAAGACGAGATATTCGTCAAGGGCACATACTATAGTAGTTGCTTCACTGCTCAGAAAAAGTTTGATACGCAACCAACAAACATGGTACCTTATCAATTGTCAGTACTGGATTTTTGTCAGACGCAAAAATACAACTAAACCATACGATCGTAAATCTTGTGTAAAAGTTATCAGACCAGGAGATATATTGGATCTCATTTTCTTATATGCCTATTTACTTTTATTCGTTTTATTGGAAGACAAAGTTACTTTTATTGCTCACTTACCGTTTTGACAGAGTTGGATCTTCCAATAACTTTATGAAGGAAGAGAGCGACATTCTCTATCTTCCATCCAATGCTGGCAAAGATTCATATCGCATATTTGTTTTTCATTTCTGACTGTAGAAGAATCCAACTTTAAGGAGAACTAAATCAGATGAAATTAACTGAATAACGAATGATACTTGCAAAAAAAAGATTTGTTCATTTGTATTTATAGGAATTTCAATCTGAAAATAATTGTAACAAATCAGCAAAACTCGGATTTTGATGTAAAGAGTACAACACAATGCCTCTTCTTATGTTTGTGTTGCAAAAAGTTATTGTTGCTACAGAAGAAAAGCTTTTTCAGTAGATGCTTTTAGATTACATTATTTAAGCCCCCCCCCCCCTCAGAAAATCTAATTTTTCGGAGATGAGTCGAAATTGAAGTTTTGTCATCGAAAAATGTACCGAAGTCTCCGCTTTCAGAATATATATGGTTTATCCCAAAATGAATTGATTTTGACGAACTTATCGTCTAAAACTTCGCTCCTAATATCATATTTTTTAAGAAACTTTCAAGGCTTTTTTTCAAGTCTGTTCGACTTTTTAGGCTGCTTTCTCTTTGCATCAGCAGTTCGTAAAGTTTTTTTTTATACTAATCACTAAGAGAGTATGAACACTTAATATTAAGATCATATATTTATAGCCTATCTTGAACATTGACATATAAATCAGGTAATTTTCGGAAAAATCAACTTCTCATACTTATTTTCCGTTTTTCTCAAAATCAATTTTTTCGAGTATACTGTTTACGCGACCAAGGTTTTTTCATAATAACTCGATAGAGAAGTGATAATTTGGGTGTGGGTGTGAGGTATGGGGTATGGGTGGGTACGATTATGGGTGTGGGCGTGAATGTGCGTAGGGTATGGGTGTGGATGTTGATGGCGGGATGGGAAGTACCAGCACAGACCTCACATCTACATCCTCATTATTTTTGTCTCGAAGTTCAATTAGCTTTCGTAATAAATAGTTTCCTCAATCTATGATTGAAACAGTAAAATGTCAAATCAAGATTTTTACAGATGTGTCCAAGACTATAGTCATTGTTAGACTGAACTGTAAAACATATTTAAATAAACAGAATATGCGAATAGAAAATTGTACCGGATGTCCAGAGAAGGAAATGGTTACGAAAATCGAACAGAGCGGGACAGGGAAAGAGAGGTGTTGAAATTCGGAAAAAATTCATAATTACACCTGACATAGGACCGTGCTCAAATTCCGTTGTCAAAAGTTTCATCGTGCAAGTTTCAACTCTCTTTGGAAGAGGAGAAATCCAAAAATATGATTTTTGTCTAGACGTTTTCTATATATAGCTGTCAATGAAAAAGAGAAATTCGACATCGTAGCACATAAAATTTGCTGAAACGTTTTATTTAATAATCACTCATGAATAAGAATGCATGTCCTCAAGAAACATAGTTGATATGTCGTTGCTGGAAAAAAAAAGACAACCAAACAATTCAATAAACAAAGACTCACAAAACGACATAAAGAAAAATCTTGGAATCCTCAATAAATTATTTCATTGAGTTTTTTTTATTTTTGTTCGAATCAACACCAAATTGTCGTTCAAGTTGTGCTTGTGTATTATTAACAGCTACTTCCACAGCTTTCTTCACAGCCAGATGAATCGCCTTCTTTGTTGCTATTTTAGCTACTTTATTCAAATTCTGAGTTTTCTCATCGATTGTTGGATCGATTTCACGATAAATTTCATGAGTAATGGTATATTTAACTTGATCTGATGTAACATTATGAATTGCTAATTTGTTCACTTGCTTTTCATTTTTCTCTGGATAATCTTTTATATTTAATCCGTGGAAGTCATTCGGTGATGATTTATGCATCTCATTTACAATATGATCTTTTTGTCTCTAATTAATTCATTTGATAACATATTACTATGAAACAGCACATATTCATAAAAATAGTCTAACCTGATAATCTGCTGGAATTTTGGCAACATGTTCTGCGATTAAACGATTGGAACGTTCATTCATTTCATCAACAATACTATGGTCTGACATAACACCTCCCATTTTCTTTGTTTTACACAAATTACCTCAGGAAAGACTAACAAAGAAATGAGAAAATGATTGAAGAGCTAGAATAGAATTTTCAAATAAAGATGGTACTGGATGTTTCTTACACTAATCTTACACATAAGCATGAGTTAGCTACATGATGAAGTGCAGGAAGTTCAGGAAGAATTTCTCTGCAATTCTTTATTTCGATTAAGCT